CATTTTTTTTTAAACTTTCCGGGATATTGAAATAAATTTTGAACTTAGAAAAGTGATCAGTCTGTAAAAAGGTACAGGTTGGTCTGGCTGTTTACTGGTGACAAAAGACAAACCCCTTTAGTTCCAGCAGGTTAAGGGTTCGGAATATTTTCTGTTTCAATTACAACATTTAACTTTCCTGAGGTAAGACATTCATTCAAACAAGAAATTTACACAGTAATACACATAATGTAACTGACCTCTTTAAAAACAACATTTACAGCACCTTTGACCTTATATAACAACTTTCTAATTCACATTTCACCTCTACAAGATGTCACTTGCAGCACCTTTGACCTTTTAAAAAGTCAATCCTAATAAAAAAGAAGTGGACTGGAGAGTAATTTAATATCGAATTAAAGAAATTGTCTCAAGCAAAAAAACCCTAATTACTACATCTAGACACTTTGGTACAAATTTCTGAACATTTATTGACTGCATGAAATACTTTTGTATATGACAATTACTACTGTCATTTTTTAAACTTAGCTTCAATGTAAAAAGTTACCTAAAAATGTTGTTAAAATGTTGACTAGAATTATGTCCCCTTTTGTTTTTGCTCAAATTCTAACTCTAATTACCTCCCCCTAATGCTCTGCTTTAATTTTTCTTCTAATTTCCTCCAATGTTCTTTTTTAAGTTACTGTTTCTGAAGTTATGCTCAAATTATAGTTTAATTACCTCCCAAAAAAAAGTCTATGTAATTACCTCCCCCTTTTTGCATTATCTTATGACTGCAGTTGCCTGCCACAATAGTCCTCATTGACCAGAAAACAATGAAAGTATTCAATCAATCAAACCATAATAATAACATCAAAATATTTTTTTATAAGTGTGCATTTACCCCTAGTCTCTAGCTAGCAGTCTCAAATCCTTCCAATACAACCAGTACAAACTAAGATATCCCACAGTCCCTTTAATTAAAGGCAAAAATACAAACAAATAAAAATAAATAACAAAAAGAAGAAAACAAGAGCTGTCAGAAGGACAGCGCGCTCGACTTTTTTAGTGCTTGCCTATAAAACAAAACTTTGACAGTTAAGGGCACACAAGACTTTAACTAGGAATTTCTAAGTACAAATCAAGAAACATTTTCACAGAGTTATCTTCTCTTGCTTACAGATAGGTCTCATGATGGCACATAAGAACTCCAACTTCCAAAGTAATATCTCAAATGGTTAAGTCAACAAGTGGACAAGAATGAAAATCTTAACTGAGTTTCTAAGTCAAAAAGGGCCATAATTCAAATAAAATCCTTAACAGAATTACCTTCTCCTGCCCATGTTTTGGGACCATGATGGTAAACAAGTATTCCAACTTTCAAATTAATATCTCAAACAGTTCAGTCAAAAAGTGGACTGGTACTAAAAACTTAACCAAGATTCTAAGTCGATAAAAGGCCTTAATTTTTAAAACAAATCCTTGACAGAGTTACCTTCTCTTGCGTACAGATGGGGTAATGATGTGAAATAGCATTAAAAGTTTCAAAGCAATATCTCAAAGGGTTAAGGCAATAAGTGGATTTTACCCATATTCAATGTATTTTCTAAGTCAAAAAGGGGCATAATTCTGTCAAAAACCTTGACAGAGTTATGTCCTCTTGTCTGTTGATGAAGTCGTGATGGTAAACAAGTATGGTCAGTTTCAAAGCAATACCTCCAATGGTTTTGAATAAAGTGAGGTGGTACAAAAAACTTAACCAAGCTCAATACACTTTCTAAGTCAAAAAAGGGCCATAATTCTGTCAAAAAACCTTGACAGAGTTATGTACTCTTGTCTGTAGATGGAGGTTATGATGGTGAACAAGTATGGTAAGTTTCAAAGCCATACTTGTAATACTTCTGAAATAAAGTGGGGTGGTACGAAAAACTTAACCAAGGTGTGACGCCAACGCTAACGCCGACGCCGGGGCGAGTAGGATAGCTCCCCTTTTCATAGAAAAGTCGAGCTAAAAAGGTCAACTTCATAGGTTAAATATGAGAACACATTTGGGGAACAACATTTCTCACAAAACATTCACAAAATTCATGGTTTTGGTGATGTAAAAAATCAATCAGTATATAAAAACCTAACTAAGATTCTATTGTGAGAAATCTCATGAAAAGAATTTCTTTACTAATTACATGTTCTATTTTGACTTGCACATATCAAAATATTAACCTGTATTCTATAGAACTGTTTAATATCTGAGTTACCAGAGGATTTACCCAATCTTAATGCAGATTTTCACAATGTTTGAAAATAAATATTCCATAAAAAAATCCATATCTAATAACACTGTAATTTAGAAACAAGTTAATTCATTACATAAAACTAACATTTTTACCTTTTTCTCATTTTTTTTCTTCTAAAGAAATCTAAACATTCTATAAAATAACATAACAAAAAACCCCAACAATCATTAAGAAAAAAAAATGCTTCGCATTTTCAGCACCAATACATATGCCACTTTTAAATGTATATAGAGAACACTCTCTGAACATTACATGTATAAATGTACATTTGATATATAATATATTAATCTCTGGAATAATATAGTGTAATAAAAAATGATATGACTAGGTGAATTTAGACACCAAGCATTGTATTTCTCGAGCTTCAACTATACAATAACAATAAAGTGAAACAAAAGAGCACCACGTGCGGTGTAAATGGTTATCTGTAAAAAATTTATAAGTTAAAAAGGGGCATAACTCCAAAAATATTGCTTTCAAAATTATGCCCATTGTCTAATAACTGCATCTCGTCATGTTAAGCAAGTATTCCAAGTTTCATGTGTACACCTTTTAAAATGATTGAATAATTGGTTACACTAAAGTTTCTGCACAACAACAACGATGATGATAACTATGAGGATGCCACTGCGGCAATCATAATAATTTGATCTTTTCACCAAAACAGTCAAGCTAAAAATCATTTAGTTTAAATAAAGACTGACCATTAGCAACCTCATATAAGTGTTTGAATATCGATATAATATTAGCATTTTGGTATCAACTAAATAATATAAGCATTCTTATATTAACTTAACATCAACTTAATATTAGCATTTAGATATCAACTTAATATTAGCATTCTGATATTTACCTAATCGTTTTCATATCAACATATAAATATCAACTTAATATTAGCACTTTAATATCACACTAATTTTTGTGATTTTGATTAGCGTTTTGAGATAAATTTTACTATATTTTGTTACAAAATCTTTAACATAAAAATGAACAATTCCAAAATCAAGTATATAATACAAATATAGGAAAACGTGGTTTTAATCACGTAAACTTCCCCTCATAAAAATACAATATACAAAACAGGACAAGAACAAACTTATACCTACAGCTTATGATATTTTAGATTCTTAATAAAGAAAACCCTGATAGTAAAATAACTTATACCTACAGCTTCTGTTATTTTAGATTCATAATATTAATGACAACCCTGACAATAATAACTTGTACCTACAGCTTATGATATTTTAGATTCTTAATAATAAAAAACTCTGACAATAATAACTGTAACACAATGAAGATTTTACTACTTTCAAAATAAAATGTACCTTTGGCATACCCTGTTGATACGGAGCATTTTTTGTATAAAAATAAAATCAGTTGAAGTCACTTTGTCAGTGGGTTATTAAACACTGCTCTGAAATTTACAAGAGCTGTATTTGTTAAAGCTTTCTTTTAGTTGAATAATGTGTTTGCTCGACATTTATTCAAAATGCAATCCCAGAAATTATCAACTGTCAATTCTTTTCATTTATCGGTGGGAGATAAAAAGAATTGCTACCTTCTTTAACATTTATGATTAACATGTACATCTTTGTGATTTGAAACCAACTTGAAAATCATCCTGTCAGAATCACAAATATTTCAAAGAAAACTTTTTCAGAATTCAAAAATGAAAGTTTGGAATACTTTTCTGAGTAAAATTCAACTACATAACCTTTTACAAAGTACGTTACTATGTATGTGTTTGTTTTGTTGTTGTTCTTTTTTGGCAAATTTTAACAAATTCTTGATCATAACTCAGCAAACAATCCACCTTACTTGCCTTTCTGGATAAGTAACCAGTAAACGTTTCGTACAAATTTTTCTGCAAATGACTTACATCACAAGATATCTAAATCAGCTGTGTGTGAGAAAATTATCAACCTTTAGACTCAATGTCTTAGACGATCAATAATTGTCACAGAGATATTTATCTTGCTTGAGGAATGAACCTGCAACCCTGGGATTACACAGCCTGTGCTCTCCCTAATGAGCTAAGCAGAAAGAAAAAAAAAACGACCAAGGAAGATAATGTTTTCAGTGTAAAAAATATGGAAGACGAAACAAGGATAAATTAATAGAAATCACCAAAATATAAAATTGTGTCATCATAAAAAAAAAGTTAAATCTCTTTATTCTACAAAAAAAGAATTTTTTTTTTTTAAAGTACAGATAAAGTAACTGTGGCTAAATACATCTACAAGATATCTTTTATTCTTATGAAAACAAATAAACAAATTAATTTTCCCTCTATATGTACAAAATATCAATTTAAACAAATAAGTCCCATAGAAAAACAGTTAAACAAATGCTAAATTTTACAATTTTCAATATTGAAAAACAAAAAACAAAATCAATAAACTAGCTGCCAGCAGCCTTTCTTTCCACTAACGTTTAAACAATTCAATAAATAACATGAAAGTCGTAACACTCTGATTGAGATTCATTAATATTTCTTAATATCAAAAAATTCTGTAAGACAGTTTTATACCAGTTTTACATATGAGCCGCGTCATGACAAAACCAACATGATGGGTTTTGCGACCAGCATGGATCCAGACCAGCCTGCGCATCCGCGCAGCTGATCAGGATCCATGCTGTTCGCTTACAAACCCTATAACAAGTAGAGAAACTGATAGCGAACAGCATGGATCCTGATCAGACTGCGCAGGCTGGTCTGGATCCATGCTGGTCGCAAACGCACAATGTTGGTTTTGTCATGACACGGCTCATATAAACATCTAGGATGCTATGACATGTCTTATAACGTATAAATGTACAATTACATACGTACAATATGCCAATTAAAGAATTAAACTTTTACTTACAGATTTTTGAACCAGTTTACACATAACAATGCTAAAACATAACCTTAGAATGTGTAAAAATAAATGTATACATATAAATTATGCCAATGCTCTGGTACACGGCTATACAGGGATTCTTTTTACATGTTTAAAGAAAACTTTCGTGCAAATGCAAAGTCTCATATTCATGGTTTCTTGAACCATTTTACAGGTAAACACTGCAGTATGCTAAAACATTACATTGTGATGTGTAAAGTTAAAGGTAGATCTATATATGACTAACTTTTCATTACTTGTGTACATAAAAGATTTATATACTAACAACCACTGTTCCATGCTAATTGGCACACAATAACAGGTCTTCAAACGCATGTATATACCAGAGAATAAAGTAACTTTAAACAGGAATTTGTGTATACCATCTTGTGTTGTTGTTGATTCATCAGGGGTTTTCTCGAAAATGACATATTAGTTCTGCCGTGTGTGGATGAGAAATACACAGATAATGATTGTTTTCTGAATATATGTACAAATGGCGTGTCATCAGAAATAGGAATATGTGTACTGTCTCGTGTTGTTGTTGTTAGATGAAGAGTATACTGAGAAGGATTGTGAGTCAACGAGGCTGTTCAAGAAATTGTCGTTGTCTAACGATATCATCTCATCATAATTGTCCTGTAACATAAGATTAAATAAAATAAAGTGTCAGTCAAATGAGAAAGCCTAAAATTGAAAATTTCTGACAGGTCAGGTCTATTTCGTATATACTATCCTGAACAGTGTTTATTTAACCATTTATTAAAACATTGTTTCTATCTGGAAAGCACTACCAATGTCTACCAAAATGTAGGTCAATCAGACTAAAAAAGCAATTATCATAGTTTTGCAAGCAAGACCTAAGCAAGCAATTATCATAGTTTTGCAAGCAAAACATAAGCAAGCAATTATCATAGTATTGCAAGCAATCTATAAGTCCCCTACAGGTTAGAACCTCAGCAAATATTTTGATGGGCCATTTGCCATTCAATTATGACATGGAATAAATGAATGACATGAATAAACTTTAATTTTATAGGCCGCTTATATGGTAAATGGTTAGTCTGGTAGGGGACTAATTTAGTTAGGCACTTAAATAAGAGAGAAAAAGTCTTAAACCGCAACAGTCGATTCTACTTGGCTCCTTTTGAGTTGTTTAAATTGACAAATTTTTCTTTAAGCTTCAATCTTATAAAAGAAAAGCTTTAATTTTAGTATTTTGTATCAGGCATTGAAGCTGTATGCTACAGTTTCTAATGAACATATAGGCCCAAGAAAAACTAATTAAGAATTTTTAAAACGTCGCATAATCTCAGAATATGATAACAGCATAGACACTTTATATCATTAAACTTATTAATTATGCCCCTGATAACAGCTAGCCTGAACTAATGTATCAATGTTGTCATATTCAAAGTTAAGGCAAAGTTTAAATATATTCTAAGCTACATTTTTCATTCTGCCTTTATGTTATCATGTACAGGCTTTATTCAGATTTATATAGCAAAAAGACTTGGTCATTATTCCATATTCATTTTAAAACAATGACATCATCTTGTAAAATAAGAGTTGAAAACTGCGCAACATTATCTACTCAACCCTTACACTTCTTAAAATTCTTACATGGAAATTTATATACATGTACAGTCATGATAATTATCATAATCATTATCCTTTATGAATCACATTAATCTTTACAATAGGAGTTCTAAGTAAAAACAAATTTACTTTCCTTGAGTGAAGCACAACAATCTATTACTCACTTAAAATTTTCATTTGCAACAGGAAGTGAAACCATGTATGATAATTAACTAAGCTAAATGAATCATGGTGACAATAATGATTTCCTTATGCTACTGACTCAGTCAGACTGCCTTGATATGCTGTATAAATGGAATATATAGAGGATATTTGTTTAGTTCAGTGTAAGATCAGAATATATTTCACCGAGTGAGCACCAAAAGGTATATTTCACGAGTGGCGCAGCCACGAGTGAAATATGAACTTTTGGTGTTTACAAGGTGAAATATATTTCGATCTTACACTAAACTAAACAAATTTTCTTTTTATTATATGCAAAGAAACGTTTTAAAAAGACATTTAACCTAATACTGAATGAAAAGCGCGCCAAATAATATAACGTGACGTCATTTACGACGTCACGTCATTAAGTTGGTTCCCAGTACTGTGCACGCTGGTATTTCACTGAAACAACGTAAGGGGCTTAAATTCAAAACAGTGAAATTATCAAAGTGGTAATTTCACTGTTTCAAACAGTGAAATTACCATTTTTATATCACTGATATATTTCTATAAACCACTGAAAAGCATGTAATAAATGGTCATTTTCTTTGGGTTTTTTTTTCTTTTGTTTAATGGAAAACCATAGTCCCTTATCCTATTGTTATGGAATGAAGTCATGTTCTATTATATATGGTTCAGAACTGTTCACCATTTAGTGGTAAAAATGTGTAAGCGGCTGGATAGCTCAGTTGGTAGAGCCGCTGCACATTTTCTCAGCCTGTGACATTTGGCGTCCAATAGGGGTGTGGATCGTCGGATAAGTGACGATCCGATCCGAACCACGATTCAGCACTTATGATTCACAAATCGAACCACAAATCTTTTGTTATCAAGACACCCATAAAAACATGTACATTAGTTATAAAACATGTTTATTTAAAAAAAAAAAAAAAACAATACTAAACATTAAACATATAAAATATAAACTAGGTTTATGTTTTTATTCTTTGGATGAGTATTTTTGTTTTGTTTTTGAAACCAATTACTTACTAGCTCAGCATCATGGTACATGGTCTTAAACCGGCAAATTGTATTTAGGTAAACTTCAAATAATTTATACTCAAATCATATTTTTCTCGATTTTATGAGTGTGAGAAACAGTGAATGTATACAAAAAAAATTAGATCGCGAGCCACGATCTCTGGGCTTACGAATATTCAAACTCGATTTTTCACTTTGATTTGTGATTATCCGAGTACTCAATTACTCGCCCCAGCCCTAGCGTCCAATGTGGGGCTGTGACTGCATGTAGCTCAGAGTTTAATTAGCATTGCTCTGTAAACCTGAGAAACTCAGGGACGAATTTTTATATAATGGGGGAGTATGTCACAGTTCAGGACTGTTCACTATTCAAGGGACAAGATGTGTATGCAGCCAGATAGCTCAGTTGGTAGAGCCGCAGACCGTTATTCCTAGGGTAATGGGTTCGAGTCCTGGTCAAGCTGCACATTTTTCACACCCTATGACAGGATTTTTTTTTTTTTTGTTTCATGGAGGGCCATGTTGTTACGAAATGACACATAAGTGAAGTCTACTGTTCTCATTTGTTTTCTGTTTTGCCCTCTATTTAGGCTACCAGTGAATAGCACATTTATAGAATAATAGTGTTGTTAAAAATTCTCCATATAAATTCCCTATAAACAATTAATTATAGACAGTTAAAAATTGAAGATAGGACAATCATGTGCACATGTTGATTGGGAATAAATGTAAAAATCTGTAATTTAAATTTCATAATATTTCTATGACTGTATTAACCTTATCATAATAATTACATAGTAAAAGCTACAATAAAAAAAAAGATCACACACAGTAAAATTTCACTTAAAATTGTCCCCTATTTAAAATATTTCTCAACCATTATATAATGAACAATAGTAACCTTTGACTTTAAATCTTTTGCCATGCACTTATTACAGATCAATGAAATAATGCTGTTTATTATAACAAATGACTAACAGTTAGCTGGCTTGTGCTGTTTGACTCAATCTTTACCTTAAATTTTCCTTTGTGAATTTCCATGACATATGATGGGAATTTTCAACAAGTCTGTATTATATCTAAGCTACTTATTTTAAGCCAAAACATGAAGAGAAGATAAAATTTTGATGAAAATGCACAAAAAACCCTTCCAGGAACATTGAACTTGAACTCGACTTTATGACAATAGTATATGTTATCTATATGTATATACATGTAGTCATCATCAGACTGACAACTGGTCATTGAGATCTCAAGATAAACTGGTCACAACATTAACCTGGCTGTTGGCAAATTGTTTGTTTCCATGTAGGCAATACATAGTAACTGACTTAATCAATACATACAAAATCTATAAATATTCATATTTATATCAAAATGTTGATGAACTCTACTGTGTGTTAGCAATTTAAAACAAAATCACCTTGAAATTAAAAAGGTCATAACTTTGTAAAATATAACTTTAGGATTATCTGTCCTTGATAATATCACATGATGATAGAGAACAAGTAAATCTAGTTTAAAGTGTCTGAATAATTTTGGTCAAAATTAACTCTTTAAGGGCATGAGTCGATGACTGGTGACATGTACCGGGTCCCTTCTCAACAGGGAAAGCTGCAATTTGTGTCTTTATTGGCGGATGGATCATTAGGCATAGACTACAGTCAGGCTTACATGTAACACAGAAACAAGGTTAAAACAATATATCATCAGGCCTTTCAGTTTACAGAGTATTAATTGATTTTAGTTCGATATGCTAAAAGCTTAAAGATACACTTTATAATCCCTTCCTGGAACCAACTATATGTAGTACTGAGTAATGTGTGTTAAGTTTTGCTCAACACAACAACAGCCTGCCCCTGATGGGAGATGAACCATGGTGGCCAGAAATGCTTTGATTACTAGTCTAATGTGGTTGTAGGCCATACATGTATATTAACAGAGTATTAGTTTTGTGGAGGCAGATAAGGAAATGCTACATGCCAAATATCTAAACTCAGGACATTTCAAACAAAAAATGTCATATTATGTATTTTATTTATATTGTAAGTCTATATAAATCAAGTGACCCCTGGGGCTGAACAAATATTGAATGAAGGGGCATGATTCAATCAAGTTTTGTAAATGTCAATAAGGCAATGTTACATGCTTAATATCTAAGCTCACACAATGAAACTTTAATGTGTTTTCCTGTAAATAAGTCTAAATAAATCAAGTTCTACCCGTGGCAGGACCAACTTTGATCTCAGGAAGCCCATTCTGTACATTTTTTTAATTTCTTTCTATTGGTTCAATTGATAAAGAGCAAATACAGAATTTTGAAATTCATACAAAATTACTTTGACCTTGAACTGAGGAAGGTCAAACATATGCTCTACACATTGTCTCATTATGTTTATCATTTCTGCCAAGTAGTTTTTCTTCCACTGGTTCAAAAAGAAAAAGACTGGACACAAATTTCCTAACAGATGGACAGAAAAATGGATGACCAGGTGCATAACAACATTGGCTGAAATTGTTAAGGGCACATATGAAGGAAATCATAGGCTATTATACCTTTGTGAGATCAATGTTACTGTCTGCTATGTAACTTAAGGTGAGATTATCAACCCATGCACGAGATTTCTTCTCCCGGTACTTCTTTCTCACAAAACACACCATGATGATTACTGGAAATAAAGCAGTATAACTATACATTTATAGTAATGAAAGGCATAAATGGATCTGCAATGAAATTCATCTTCTATTTCTTTCTGACTACATTAATAACATGTTTCATTTCAACACTATTCAAGACTTCTAGTGCTAACAGCAACAATGACACAGCAACAGGATACTAAACAACTGACATGGTTAACATATCCAAACATAGATCTAGCCTTATTTGCTTTTTCTCTCTCTTTAAATTAACATTAAATGGTCAAAGTCTAAGGTAATATAGGATATGGAACCAGGGTTGCATCTCTTACTTTCTCAAATTTTTATGTATACAACATCAATTACACCCTTTCCTTCTCCAAGACAACTTTGACTTAAAATTTATCAAGCCTGGTCAAGCCCAACTTCAGAATTTCTCCTTAACTACATACATGAAAATAATTGTAACAGTATAAATAACATTTCTAAAGAAATTTGTAATCTAACTTATCCATTCTATAGAAAGGAGAGAAAAATTCCTTCCTTTTAAGAAAAACTTCACTTCAAAGAATTTCACATATTCTCCCAATGTTTTTAGATTAAATTAGATTTACTCCAAACCACAAGGATATGTTCGAATTCCTGATAAGCCAATCCTAGTTTAACAAACAGGATATATGACAAAGAATGTAAAATATATTTCATAATCAGTGATTTTTCCCCCTATATTTAACACACACATTCATCAGAGCAGCTGATTTAGATCAACTTTTTGATTAATTGCAAAGACTGAAATCTCTCATTATAGATAACCTCTGCTATGTACCTGGCATGTTGTATTGCAACTAAATTTAAAATTTGATAAAATGTGTGACTATGATGAATTTTTAATTGTATGGATTTTATTTCAGATCTTCCTTTTAAGGATTTATTGTGCAATTTTTTCCCCCTTCATGTGTTGCTCTGAAAAAAAAAATTGGACAGCAACTGTTGTCCTACATTACACATACAAGTCATACATGTATATATTAATTTAATAGGACAATTGTTTCCTTCTAATATGGCAGCTATTTAACAACAAAATAAAGGGTTGGATAAAATCCAGAATCAAAACTCTAGACACCATTACAAAAGTATCATAACTATAAACTTGTGAAATTAAATCAAAAGAAATTCTTACCTATTACAACCACAAAAGCCACAGAACTTAATGCTACAGCTATAGTAACAGAAGTTCCTAGTCCATCTATACCACTCACAATACCTGGATGAACCTCTGTTTCTGATGCATTTGCGTGCAAGTCTGTTGAGTTAAGGTGAAATGTATGGAGTGATGATGATGTCACATATGATGAAGTTATATCTGAGGAATGTGTTGTCATGGCAACATTATGCCCTGACTCTGAGGTCAAGGCTATCACAGTGTCATTGGTCCCCATAATGCTGGTGTCTGTCTTCTTACATCTCTTGAAAGAACTATGTAAAGAGAATTGTACACTGTAAATACAAGAAAGGATAAGTAAGAAGAAAATTACACGTCAACACCAGGGATGTTTATGTTGTTTTATTATCTACCGGTTTCGACCTACCGTGAGGTCTTCATCAGGATAAATTTTGACAGAAATTTGGGCCTGAAGTATTAAAAATGTGTAGGATGGTAAGTCACATGACTGACCAAAATAGTACTGTAAATACAAATACAACAAATTCTGTTAATACAAGTACAATAAATTCTGTTGTTATGTTTTATACTGTTAAAATATCTCAAATCTATTTTAGGTGTGCAGGATTTAATACTGTCCTAGGTGAATATCAAGTCAAAAGAATTTAAAATTCAGGCATGTTTAACTGTGTATGGTTTTTCATAAAAAGATTCCTGTCATCATAATGACTGACATGACAATTTGACAAGCACTGCTGTCATGTTAATGTACATGAGTATTACCTCTAGTAGACTATACAGTAACACATACAAGTAATGTTTAAAACAGTTTTATTAGTTTCAGAAGAAACTAAGAAAATGTACAGCAGACTGAGATATTTATTCCCATCAGGGGTGTGGAATTCCTATGCCCGACTTCAGTGGACAAGTAAAAATTTGGTAACTGCTTGTCTGTGGACAAGTTGAGAAATAACAATCATATAAATATTTTAAGACAGTTGAATTGCTATGATTATTAAAAATTACGAGAAACATTCTCCTTTTTGATATTTAACTTTGTTCATAAGTTACTTATGTAACAGAAAATCTTTGATCTCAAAACTCACCCGGACAAGTAAGTTTAAATGTGGACAAGTATGAAAAGTTCGTATTTAATACACACCCCTGCCCATAGACCTTATTGAAGAATTTATGCATTCTATACCGTTTTTTATAAGAGGGTCGGAATGCAATGATTACAATAACGTGTGTGAAAAACAATCAATATCGAAATATGCTTGTAAGTATAATAACCTGATATTAAATGCTAAGCTTTTCCCAAAATATGATATCTTTTCTAATAAAGTTAATATGTTGATTCTGTAATTTTTATTTTTGTATTTAGGTGGGTAGAGCAAGCACAAACTTTAAAGGCCCATTATACCACAGAAAGTATGTTTCTTTTCTTTTGTGTACTTTCAGTTTTCAAAACGTTACTCAATGGCCAATTACCTAAACGATCTTTTTCCTCTGTTGGGCTTCAGCATTTAGTAGGGTTATGGCGATTTAATATTTTGTACGGAAGTCAAAATACTACTTTGTTAACATTTTTGCTACTTTTATGACAAAAAATTTCACATTCATCGTTATTTTTCTCAAGTTACAAGCATCTCATAGATTATACACATGTATGCTACACATCCATATTTTACATGATATAAAAATCATGTTTGTCCTTTCTAAAGAAGAAAAAAATATTCCTATCTCAGGATTAATGCACTTTTAACTGAACAGTTTTGTAATTTTCAGAAGTTATCTTTCAGAAATTTCTGAAACTGTCATTTAAAAAATTCTTATTTTATTTACTTTTTATGCAGTCAAAATAAGTTTGAAGGTTTGGCCCTTACTGTATATATAAAGTGTTTAATATTATTCCTCCTAATTTAGAAAATTCTGCTAAGTTCAAAACAACTGTTATTATCAAGATGTATTACCTATTAAACAGACATGTGGTTCCTCATCAATCGCTCAGAACGAAAGGTCCCAACAAAAAATTAAAATTTAAATTCCTGCGCAGAAGACATCTATATATCATCGATGTACACATATATGTCATAATCCTTATAAAAACAACTAATCTTAATTTATTCTTTTCCTCATTTACTCCAACAATAAATTTCCTAGTTCTAGAGTTACGCTGATGAAATTTTCATTAATAACTTCAAGTGTTAATGATTTCATGTATACACTTCCTATGCATGACAAATTATCTGATTTTTGTGGTTTAGTTATCTGTTTATATACCAGAGACATATAGGTCTCTACATACACAGGAACTTGAAATTCTATCAAATAACCAATATTAATTATAATTTCCAAATATACCCCCTATATACTATAATTTTTTTATAGTATATAGGGGGTATATTTCGCATATTATCGTTAATAGTGATAGAATTTCAAGTTCCTGTGCTACATATCAACTGAATCAGTCTTAATTCTAGACATATACCAACAGATCAATTAACACCAATTACGACATAACCGAACTCCCCGTGACAGGAATGTCAACTTATGATTCATGACTGTGGTGTGTTGACAATCTAAATCAGTGACAGTGTATGAAAATCACATCTATTTTTAGTAAACTTCTCCTCTAGTGAGTTTGTTTGAATAAAAATACATTACAACCAAAGACATAAACTTAATTGTTAAAATATATATCTGTAAAAAGAAAGTTTATTTATAAACCTACAGTAGTTACTATACTCCAACTGAATGCATTTTGTGGTAAATCAACTTTTTCATGGGCATCTTACTGGAAGTCTCAGCTGTCAAATTGATGTCAAGGTCGCAAATGTGGGATGTACCCCTAGAGGTAATTCCCGGTCTCTTCCGGTTCATTTTGACCGGGATTTACTAGAGACCGGCGAGTAGTATCACACGTTTATTGTCCGGTCTCCCGCTTTTGGAGAAGATATTTCATTTGCTATCGTAACAAATAGATAAGTTTTTTTTCCCAAAAATGAATGTTTGTCACTAATTTGGGTTACAATAATTAATTAACACAGATCAACTCTCAAATTTATCTATTATTATTTTTCAGAACATTCTGTCATTTTCGGCTGTTCCCCTTTCACAGTTCCAGAATATAATGTATTATTATCAAAACATTATATTAACAAATGTAAAATGAAGTCCGTATTGCCAAGCTTAGAGGCTTTTAAAAAATCAATTACAATTAACGCCTGGTGCCGCACATGGGGGACAGGTTTTTAGCCCACGTTTTTAATGGAGCACATTTCACATCACCACTCGTCGCTGATGTCTGCACAGCGGATTTACAGACGAGATCAACATAGAAGTAGAAGTAGAAGACTATATTTTGGTAAAACAGAAATAATCAATGCCAAAAAAATGCTTAGGTTTGAAGCAATACAGGATGTATGGAAAGAATACATAAAATTAATCAATGAAAACGAAAGTGTCTATAACATTATCAGCTGTAAGAAAATTTTGACACTTATTTTTTGATTTGATTTGATTTTCTTTGGACCGGGCGGTCAAGGATAACCTACTAAAGTGCAAGCACTTATTTCCAGTAGGGTCCTTACCTAAGCAGACTCTAGAGACAAGGGAATCCGGGAACTAGTCCCTAGCTCTTATTGAATAGATTCCTTGGTTCTTTTACATGCCCAGTGTATAGCACTGAAACATGCGAGGATTACCTGGATTTCTTAACATGTAGTACACCTCTAGTTAGGTGGGAAACTCTGAAAGTGTTTCTGAAAAATCCCAAAGGGTGTTACCCAGGATCGAATCCGGAACCTCAGGAGTGACAGTCAGTGGTCTAACCAACTGAGCTATTGCTCATATTTTTGTTATGTAACTTAACTCTTTTATAATTGATCGTTTGTGCAGAGTCAACTTTGCCTTTTTAAAAAAAATATAATAAGAAAATACATGCATATAGTGCTTTGCAAATGTATGAATTTGCGTGTATTATTTCGAGACACTGTTATTACATCAAATTTCATAGTATTGTATTATTGTATTATTTCTTGAATTTTATTGTTTGCATTGTACAATAAAGAGAAATAAAAAAAATATTCCCATTGGTCACTTCTCATGACGTAATAACCACGTGCTATTTCACAAACTGGATATTAAAGCTGAATGCCTCCAGATGAGCCAAAATATTTCAAGAAAATAAATATTGAGAAAAATGTACTAAAATTTTAAGACAGTTAAAAAAACATTGCAACAGAAATCTATATAAATTACTTTATTTGTTCACCTCACAATATTTTACTTTTAAATACATTTCCAAAATTTTCATGAAAATCAACATGAATCTGGAGGCTTGCTGCTTTAAGGATACTTTCCAAAATAAATTCCAACACACAATTTTTAACAAAGCTTTCTCGTGTAAACTTTTATATACGTTTGAAAATTAAGAACCTTACTTCGAGAACTTCGTGATTTTTCGTACAAAATTAATTAAGATAAAAGAAAACGTAATATAAAAACAAATACTTGGAAAGGAGGGCCAGTAAATATGATATACTATTCGCCGGTCTCTTGTAAATCCCGGGTAAAATAGGCCGGGAGAGCCGGGAGAGACCGGAAGCGACCGGACCGGAGAATAGTATATCCCCGCACCGGTGCTCAGTCATATTTTGTCTCGTCAAATTTATGTAAAATTGGATTTTTGTTTTCATTAATTTTAAACGATTAAACATTGATTGTTTATTTTGTTAGTGTGACAATAATTCAAATGTTAAAAACTGTGAAGAACTTTACCTCATTTTGATTTTAAAACTGTTTTTAAACGAGATTACTCATTTTATTAACAATATATAATGTCTGGAAATCTAGTGCAATATGTGGTAGTGAGAAAAGATCTTGTCAAGGCTCTGAAGTGGCCTACTGGGGCGCTTATTGCTCAAGGCTGTCATGCATGTACGGCAGTAATGCATCTATTCTACCAGGATGCGAATACACAGCAATATCTGGCAGATCTAGACAGAATGCACAAGGTTGTACTTGAGGTATGAACTGAGCATGCAATTTAAATTGCAAGAATGCCCTAGTGTAGTCCAACAAACTCACCATGCGCTAGGGCTTTTTTATTATTTAGACGATGGTTGCCCTTAGACTGACATCTGTGTAATATCCGTTTGTAAGATCGGTCAGTCTTGCAGTCAAAATATTGACCCTAGCCATAGTGTGACAAGTCAATTTTAATGGCTGGGGAACGCGAAGCGGGCCCAGGCTTTGTCTTGCATGGCTAAAGACTACACATGTATCTTAAAAAGGAAACCAAATGAAAAATAATTAAAAAATATATAGAATTCTATACCTATCAATGAAATTTTTTGTGTCAGTTCTAGTTGGGCGCTGCCACTTCAATGTTATTCAATGATAATTAAGGCAGAGTATTCCAATAACTTTTCTCCAATAACTTTTCAGATTAATGATAAATCATAATCGTCAAGTGTTCCGAGTGAAAACTGAAGCGTGCATGAAATACTGAAGGACTCCTTTTAAACAGAAAAAAGAAATGATTTTTTTTTAGCAGACTTCCCCATTCATAGTCTTTGCCTAATTTCATATTATAGGCTATTGAATGAGTGTAGCTGAATTTATTAAACAAGTTGAATAAAATTATAATGTAAAAGCATAGTATTATTTTATTCAACTAGTTCAATAAATTTAGAAATGAACCTTACATGAATATAATATTGTATTTATCACACATCCAAAATAAGAACTGTTCACAGTAAAAAAGAATCTTTTTTTTTGATGCACTTATAAAGGTGTTTTGAATTTCAACCAGTACTTTTCAAGTTATGCTCCGGACAAGGAAAAGGGTAGGGGCAATAACTGTAATTTGTCAAAATGGAGTAATGTTTCTTGTGCACTGCACTTCCTCTCAATGTGCTTGACTATTGTATGAAGTTATATTGAATTCCAACCATTAGTCTTCATGCTATGGTACGGACAAAAAAAGCAATGGAAAAGTAGCAAAGGGCAATAACTCTGTAATAATTTTAGATAGAGTTATGGTTCTTGTGCACTGCACTTCCTCTTATTGTGCCTGACCATTGTAAGAAGTTGTTTTGAATTTCAACCAGAATAGATGTGGTTCTTGTATGTTTCATTTCCTTTCAATATGGTTGACCCTTGATGAAGTTTTATTGAATAAAGAACACTGCACTTCCTCTCATTGTGCTTCACCATTGTCTAAAGTTGCATTGAATTCTAAACATTAGTTTTTAAGTTATGCTCCGGACAAGGAAAAGTAACAAAGGGCAATAACTCTGTAATTAGTGAAGATGGAGTTATGGTTCTTGTGCACTGCGCTTCCTCTCAATGTGCTTGACCATTGTATGAAGTTATATTGAATTCCAACCATTAGTCTTCAAGTTATGGTCTGGACAAAAATTAGCAATTGAAAAGTAACAAAGGGCAATTACTCTGTAATTACTTTAGATAGAGTTATGGTTCTTGTGCATTGCACTTCATCTTATTGTGCTTAACCATTGTATGAAGTTGTTTTGAATTCCAACCAGTAGTTTTCAAGTTATGCTCTGGAAAAGGAAAAGTAACAAAGGGCAATAACTCTGTAATTAGTGAAGATGGAGTTATGATTCTTGTGCACTGCACTTCCTCTCAATGTGCTTGACCATTGTATGAAGTTGTATTAAATTCCAACCATTAGTCTTCAAGCTCTGGACAAGGAAAAAGCAACAGACCGCTGAACAGACCAACCGACCGACCACTGGGTGACTCCTATATACCCCCCCCCCAAACTTCATTTCCGGGGTATAATAAAGATATATGTAGATTAGAATAACTTCAAGGACAATCACACAGTAAAGTCCTAGTTGAAATATTCTGACATGCAAAAGCTATATTCTAAGATTTTTTTTCTGGGTCAGAGGAGGAAAGATTGCTGATTATACACAATCCTCATACACAGTATTTCAATTCTTAGTTTAATAAGTTGGACAACTGGTTAAATCTGGTAAAGATGCTCCCACACTAAGAAGAACCAGGGGCATACTTCCTGCTATGGGAGTGCAAAAAAAAACCCTGCATTGACCATAACTACCAGTGCAGGAAAAAACTGTAAGATAACCATAAACTTGACCTATTTCTTCTAAGTTCTTGTATCTTTATCCCCTAAAAACGTGTTTCTTGCATTATTTTTGCACTTTAAGCTACATTAAATAAATAAAATATGTAAACATATTTGTCCGTCTGCTTACAAACCAAAAATTCTATAGTTTCGTTAACATTCTTAACAGTATTGTTGTAAATCTCATTAAAAGTGTTCATAAGTTATGATTTTAAAAGGAAAACCCCAGGGTAACACTAAAGTTTATAATTATACGAATTTTAACATGCAAATGAAGACTCGTATAATTAGCTTGTGTATGCGCTACGTCACAATGGTAAAATCACTTGTAACCATGTGGATCACAGCAAATAGTAGATATTCTTGTGCAAACAAACTTTTACCATTTTAGTTTCACGGTGCATTAGCCCTGTCATTTACAAAAAGTAATCATCTCATAAAAAGATTGAATTTGTATGAAAACATCCGTAATATAATGGGGAAATATACCGTTAAATTCGGACTGCTACTTAAAAATGTTTGTTGATTTTCTATTGATGTACAGATGACCCAAAGGCGGAGTTTCTCATGCAAATAGAAATTGTACTTCCGATTTCGCCACAATGAGGTTGTAGATTTATGGCTTATAAAACTCATTTTGGTTGTCTGGACACCAAAATAAGAACGGGAGTCGATATGAAACATATTTAATTAACAAAATGTAGCTATTTCTTTTTTTATGAAATTTATTTAATGTAGCTTTAAATTTTAAGTTACTGTTTGAAATTCCAGGCTCCTGATGAAGAATCTCTACGGAAGTTGGCAAACAAATTATCTGAGGAGAATATTGATCACAAGCTATGGATAGAACAACCAGAAGATATCCCCACATGTGTAGCTGCCAAACCATACAAGAAAGAAGATGTGCAACAATATTTCAAAGACTTCAAGTTGTTCAGATGATGTTTAATGTATAATAACAGAAATAAATACAGTTATTTAATTAAGTTGTATGACCTGATCAATGTCATTTCAATTTCTTATTGATACATCCTGATCAACGCAGTATAGGCCAGTTAATATCATCATAATTAATATGGCACCTTTACAGCTTACTGACAAAGAAAGACCACAGGTGCCATCAGGGGTTTTTGAAGTTTTCTCTTTTAATTAGGAGGAGGCCTTTGCCTCTTTGATTTTGGGTAAAATAATAGCTAAAACTGCTGATTTTGAAAAGAAAAAGCTGGTGTAAGTTTGGATTTTTGGGAAAACTGATTTTTGTGCCCCCACGTTAGTGGCGGGCATTTAGATTTACCCTTGTCCGTCCGTCCTTCCGTCCGTCCGTCTGTCCGTCCGTCCGTCCTTCCGTCCGTCCGTTCACTTTTGTGTCGCACGTAACTCAAAAAGTATTTAACCTAGAGTCATGAAACTTTACAGAAATGTTGATCAGCATGTGTAGTTGTGCACCTGGGTATTTTCGTCTGGATATTTTTAGTATTTTCAGAGTTATTGCCCTTGACTTTGTAAAATTTTGCAATTTTCAACTTGTGTCGCATGTAACTCAAAAAGTATTTGACCTACAGTCATGAAACTTTACAGGAATGTTGATCAGCATGTGTTGTTGTGCACCTGGGTATTTTAGTCTGGATATTTTTAGCATTTTCAGAGTTATTGCCCTTGACTTAGTAAAATTTTGAAATTTTCAACTTGTGTCGCATGTAACTCAAAAAGTATTTGACCTAGAGTCATGAAACTTTACAGGAATGTTGATCAGCATGTGTAGTTGTGCACCTGGGTATTTTCGTCTGGATATTTTTAGTATTTTCAGAGTTATTGCCCTTGACTTAGTAAAATTGTGCAATTTTCAACTTGTGTCGCTAATAACTCAAAAAGTATTTGACCTAGAGTCATGAAACTTTACAGGAATGTTGATCAGCATGTGTAGTTGTGCACCTGGGTATTTTCGTCTGGATATTTTTAGTATTTTCAGAGTTATTGCCCTTGACTTAGTAAAATTTGGCAATTTTCAACATGTGTCGCACGTAACTCAAAAAGTATTTGACCTAGAGTCATGTAACTTTACAGGAATATTGATCAGCATGTGCAGTTGTGCACCAGGTATTTTCGTCTGGATTTATTAGGTATTTTTAGAGTTATTGCCCTTCACTTTGAAAATTTTTGCAATTTTCAACTTGTGTCGCAAGTTTCTCAAGAAGGATTTGACATAGTCATTAAACCTTATGGGCAGGTTGCTCAGCATATTTTAGATTTGCACCTGGGGTTTCGCTTGTGGATTTATCCAGTATTTGTAGAGTTATTTCCCTTGGCTTAGTAAAAAGATTGAATGAACAGTGGCGCGGTGGGGGCACCCGTGTCCTATGGACACATTTCTAGTTTATTTTTATTTTGAAGACAAATTGTTTTGGAAAGAGTTATTTTATAGGCCACTGTTATGTAACGTTTAAACCTCTGCCCATTCATAAATATTTCAGGCACAATTGAGCCCTAGTTCCTAATGCTAGTTTGATAGCTCTCACATGAAAGAATTTATTGCAAGCCATTATTTTGAAATTTGGCTTACTTGAGTAATAGTATTTTTCTGAACTCATCTACCATACTTGTTTGTTTTGTTGGATTTTAACTCACTAAAATTATAGTTTTACTGGTTGAGGAGGACCTCACAATGCCTCTATGCATTACTTCAGGAACCCAGAGTAGAACCACAAACCTCTTCTAAGCTAGCTGGAAGGCTTTCTCTCATTAAAGAACCCAAAGTCCCTAGCAGAATTCAATGCCGCAGTGGTGAGGGGCATTTGACTTGAAGTCAGAAACCGTAATTTCTTGGCCACAAATGTGACCCTGCCCCTTTAAACCCCTATGTCAACTTTCAGACCTCATTTTGCTTATGACAATGATGAAAAGAAAACAAGACATTTAAAACAATCAACCATTTTTATATAAAAACACAATATTTAACACATACATAAAAGTTTATGCAAAATTATCACTGCAAATCTGTATTTTTGTGTGTAAAGTTCACAGAAACCATGCAATATATAATATATTCAAGTAAAAAAATGCTCCAATTTAATTATCAAAATAAAATGCAGAGAAAGACATGCTGTTATTCTTTCAAGCCCTTCAAAATAAAAACAAGAGATGGGAATCTGACAGTTCGCTCACCTATTCTTGGTACTTGATGGACTTACGGGGAAAATTCAATGAAAAGCCATGCTAGAGTTATCTGTCTTGAACAGTGACAGTAAGGATATGCCAATCTTTGTGAAGTTTGAAATATTCATCTTGCTTTTTTCTTTCTTGAAACCACTTTTAGAGGGAAAGAATGTATACATATTTTTACTTACAAAAAAAAATAAAAACAACAAAAAACAAATCATATTCGATACACAAATTTTTCCTCTCTCTCTACATATATATGTAATACACACTAAAAGATGAACCACAAATTCATGATTTTAAGAATTCTTACCTTAATATAACTTTAAAATGATATAGGTTTATGATATAACCAGATTATCTGGTATACAAGTTAGTATACAACCAGATTATCATGCCCTTGAGGGATTTTGAAACTGCTAAAATTTGGTCACGAAAATGTGACACACATTACCTCCCCTTGTTGCCAATGTGAGCACCAAATGGGAACTATCTATTTGGTCTTGTACAACAAAAGGAAAAATTGGCCAGACTATAAGGTCTACTATGACATGATAGCAAGTTCTTCAAAGTTCTAGTAAAAAAAAAACCCACACACATATTTAGCTCAGAGAAAAGAATATTGTACAGCAATAGATAGTGTTAACAAATTTTTTTTTATTGCAAAAGCAAGTCTTTTCTACCAAACAATTCATCTTATTAAATCAAATTTCAATTTAGAAATTTGATTAAGTGTTACATTATAATTATAGTCTTTGTGGATGCATTTAATTAAATGACTTTTTATGCTGTTTTAAATGCTCCATTTTAGAATATAAAAATAATCGAATTCTGTTAAAAGCAAAAATGATCTAAACTGAAAAAAAAAAAAATATTCACAAAATATTAACACTGGGTTCCCAAAATATCAAATTTTAAACTGAAAACATGGGAGAGAAACAAAAGCTGAAAAAAAGAGTGGTATTCTATTGCTGAAATTAGTTGTGGATGAAAACTCATAAATAATAAATAGTATTAATACTATAGAATGACTGTCTTTAAAGCAACATACCTCCAGAGTTATGCTTTTTTAATATAAAAAAAATCCATTAGCATAGAAATAACAAAACAAATATTTATAAACATTTTACATGCTCAAATGAAATGCCTTGAACCTTAATCATGCTGGATATCTTAAATGGACTTGCCCATCTGTCATTCATTTCATTTATCATTTTTAGGAAAAATTCAAAAATAAGTACATGTACTGACTTAACAGGTAACAGTGCAGGCCATGATCAGATGGCATGGAAAAAAATGCTCATTTGCAATGCGATACAATCGTAGAGTTCATTGTCACTAACAGGCTAAGAGTTAAAGTGGAGATCTGATCTGCTTTTTACAAACTAACCAGTAAATACGACTGATTATTTTAAAAAACCTGCCGGTGCCCCTAGTGGTATTCAACCAAAAACCCCTGGGTTGAGAGTTTGACATCTCAACCACTTAGGGCCTATGCTTCCAGTTTATACATTTGTTTACTTATCCGGAGGCATGTTGCTTTAAGATTTAATATAAACCTTTAGAAAGTCACATTGAACAAGGAAAAGAAAAAAGAAAACAACAGCCAAACAAAATCCTACTAACAACAATAAACTAAGCACTTCTTACATGCATGAAAATAATTTAGTTCTTAAATAATTCACAAAATAAATTAAATGAAATTAATTAATAAACTCAATATTATATTAATTTTAAAGCTATATCAGCTAGCAGTGTGCCTTGTTAGACAAGTTAACACTGGAATAAGTTAATAACTGAAATTAAACATAAAGGCCCATTAAGCCCAAAAAATGCTATAATTTATATTTCTGACAAAAATCATTTTATTTTTGGTGCCATGTTACAGTTTCCAAAAAAGGTACTCATTGGCCTGATATGAATGAACTATCTTTTGCTGTTTGGAAAATTGTGAAGTTATAGATATTTTGTATTTCGTATACATGTAAGTCAAAATACTACTTTGTTTACATTTAGCTTTCTTTAAGCCACATTATTGCAAGTTCAACACTTCTGTTTTTCAGTTGTTTAAAATCTAAATCTATAATCAAACATAATTCAACACATATTTCATGTATTTAACCTTTCTTGTAAGAAGATTAAATATAGTGATTTCTGAGAGCTTTATGGGCCTTTAAAGTTACATCACCCATTTGTACAAGTCAGAGAGACAAAAATCAATAGAGACTTGGTCTTTTTTTTATTGTTGTAAGATATTCTAATGTGGTAACAATAAAAATATATGGGAGAATTTATCATAAATCTATCAAAACATTTCATTTTTGTTTTCCAAATTAATCCTTATTTATATCCTGCTGAGACAAAAATGTATCAACTTTTGCTGTGAGTACTGAGTGCAGTCTGAGCCTACACATCTATGCAGTATGACCAGGCTCAATACTGCTTCAAGCTTAATATTGGAGGATGACCTACGGTACTTGCCCCATCATGCATTATTTCAGGCACAAGCAGGCACCCGAGTAGAACCACCCACCCACTCTTACTCCCTTGATTGCTGACAAATTTACATAAATATTTCTTTGTAAGAAACTTAACACTGCTCATGGGATTCATACCAATTGTTCAATAAGCTAAGGTCCTTACGTATGTGACCCAATGAGGTCAGCTTCTATTTGTAATATATGCAAAAAAAACAAGTGTACAAAAGTTTGAAAACAAATAACTCTGTTAGAAAAATATAATCACTGATGCCAACTAGGACATTTAAAATGTTTGTAGATTTCTTATAAAAAGAATTAAACCAATTCAATAAACATAATAATATTCTGTCAACACAGTTGTCAGAAATAATCACAGCAAGCAGACCAACAATGTCTATAATTTGAAAAAAAATCTAATGAATTATGTCTTATAAGCATATATTCCCCATGCCTAACCCCGTGACAAATATATAAAACAGTCAATTTTGGGACATATACATATCCCTTTAAACCCTTTTCGAAGACCTAGAAATACAACTTTTATGTCACACCATAAGACTGCTTCCTAGATGTCTAAAATTGTTATCAAGACTGCTTTCTGTGTGTCTAAACTAGTTATCATACTAGTATGTAAAGTATTGGAAGCCGAAAAAAAGATGGCCTAGCCTTAACTGTAAAACTTTGATAAAATTAAAGGAATGGTGGGAGTGAGATATACATGTACATCATATAATTGAAAATCCTAAAACTGCAAAGATTCAAAAGCATATTATATTCCAAGAGAAGTAAAAAAATACAATCTAAAATATATATATCTGATAGTTACATTGTCATATGAAGGCTTCTCCATTCATATTGCAATGAAGTCAATAATTTTGTTTTCAAGGTACAATCATTTTTAAGACCAAGTACAATAATTGTTAAGACCAAGTAAACTCATTTTTAAGACCAGATACAATTATTTTTAAGACCTATAAATTTATGAAAGAGCCAGCAATAGTGTTTATATATAATATATAAAAACTTACATAAAGCTATAATTTCCCTCTACAAAATTTAACAAGTTTTACCTACATCTGTAGATGTGGAATGCTATTTCAACAAAAGAAAGACTTTTTTATAAATATATTTATAACAACTTCAAATTTTGAAGCCAAAATTAACATTAGATAATAGTAACGTCAAAATTACATTGCACAAGTTTTTATATTCATTTCAAATATCATAGATTGTATATAAATATTTTTGACAGGTTATATGACCATTTATGAATGATTATTGTCTACATTAACCATATAACCTAGGATATATAACCTGTCAAAAAATCTTAGATGTTAAAACACTTTTAACCTATTTTAAACAATTATCACATTAGCAAACTTGCCTCGGTTTAAATTTTTTTTTTTTTTGAAATTAAGCATTGCATTTGCATTCTGTATGTCAATTAAAATCAAAGGTCATATTCAAACAAGTATCAAATTAAGTCATTTTCAGTCATTTCATTGCTAGGGTGCAAAAAATACCAAGTGACATGTCCAACATCCGGAGAGCAATTACCTCCCTTTATCTCAATAAGATTTTCTCTAATGATTTATTAAATATCAAGGTTCATACAGAAAAAACTTTGTTCTAAATTAAAGAACTTTCTCAGGACTAATAACTTTTGTACATTTTTTTTTCTATATCTAATTTAAAGGAACTCCACTTAGGTCGAAAAGCCTAAAATCATTAACTTATAAGTTTTTACATAGATCAACTTTGGCACTTAAAATAGTAAGATATACCAAAGATCGATCAGAATTGATTTGAAAATCTTATTTGTTTGCTAATTTTAAACTGATTTGATCTCTAAGTGTTTACAAATGCTTTTTAGTTTCAGGTTATTTCCACATGAATTAAAATAATATTTTTGGAAAAAAAAAGAAGCGGAATGATCTGAAATTTTGAACACAAGCTATTAGTTCAGACCTACATTATATGGCACAAACAAAAATTACAAAAAAAAGTGAAGTTCCTTTAAAGAGTAAAAGACCCCAAACATAGGAATTAAGGACTTTTAAAGGTCTTTTAAGGACAGTATTAATTTATGGTCTTTTAAAGTCCTCTAATCAACTTTTTGAAGACCTTTATCATGCTCTACAAACCTTGAGAGTATTTCAAAAATATTTTTATAACATAAACTACATAGAACTTGACATAACCAATTTAAAGTCCCTGGCTTATAATGAAACTAAATTATATGCTACCAAAATGAGGTGTTAACTACTTGTACACTATCAGTTCACTAAGCCGAAGTTCCGCGGTCAATGACACTGTGACTATAAACACACAGTCATGTAATTCTTTGGTAATTTGTTGTAAGATCTCACACATGAAATGTAACATTGCTATAACGACGGGCTAAATTCGGTTACATGGTAACAAAGTAAGTGTGAGGCATTGTTGTATATAAATATATGTAACATCAGACATTGTTCTTCATTCTCATCTTCTATGCTTCATTAAAGATAAAGTTTTCTGCATCAGAGGCGCTTTTTTAGCTGAAAGTTTAAAAAAATCAACAAAACATTAAGAGCAAAAGAGGCAAAAATGCATAGTGAAAACATGTTTTTATTCATAATTGAATACAAAAAGAGTGCAATTACTTGAAGACTGACTAAAGTTGAACTGAAAGCTGTATTAATAGTAGTTCATACAATCAAATAGCAACGAAGGTTGAATCTATATGAAAAACAAACCTTTCTGAAATCTACTTGATTGTTTGGTTGCATTTTAACGCCAATTATAACATATTTTTAGTCATATCTCTGCATACGGTCCACATAACTGACTTTCCTACATAGCTAACTAAATACCAATTTATCTGCAAATGATTATTAATCCCAAATGACTTCTAAATCAGTAGCAAGAGACAAATGACAATTACACTCAATGTATGAGATCAATTTCACTGAGAAATTATGCCTCGCCAAGAAGCAGCTATAAAGCAAAGTGGGCAAACATTGAAAATTCTAAATTGTCAAGACAAAAACAATGTGTTCAATGAAAAAGGCCTACTCAGAAGTCAATACATCAAATCATTGACATATCAAAGTAATCAATGTGCAACCACACCTCTTAATTCCCCTTATTATAAAAAAAATATTTGCAAGAAGTGTTTTCCTTTTTTTTTGAACTGGTTACATAAAGGGACCCATTAAGAATCACCTAAAAACCACTGTTGTTTAACCAAAATATCACCAAGTATTCAAAATTCATGACTTATCTTTCATCTGGACCAAATATCTTCCAAATGTTACCTTATCACACAATTGAAATTTTTTATTTTGGCCAACTAACCCCAGACTCCTTTTTCAGATAGGTGAACAATTTTGGATAAAGTAAAATATGTACCTCGTTCAGCCATTTGTTGCTTGGCTCTCCCTATGGCAATCATGTCTACCCCTGTAAACTTGTGTTTCTTCCCATCACCACCACTCATTATAACATTTGATGTTCCAAACTTTGCCTGCTGTCGTCGTACTTCACGTGGCGGCTTAGCAACATGGTCGATAAACGCTAACTGGGTTTTCCGTACTGTAAACATTAGAGAGTTATGAACATTTACATTCAAATTAATAAAGTTGGGTCAAAGCTATTTAAATTCACATTACCCTTAATTCTCTAAATATCTTGCATGGACCTGTACATCTTTCAGTCTGCACAAAACCATTCTAGGTACGTACAGACTGACTATTGAACAGTGCTGACCATGATCAAATAGCATGGATATTTAAGCTGATTTTTTGTACAGCACTGTACACCTGGGTAGAATATTTTTGCAGCAGACTAGCTACATGTTAAGATGAGAGTACAAAATTTGGTTTGCTTTAAATAACATTCCTCTAGTTATAGGCTAGCATAACGGGGCTTTAACCTTATGTTTGCATATAGCGTTGACATGGATATCATGTCAAAGTGTCATACACTTAGTGTAATTATCCTTTTTATTAAATCGGTTTATAACACCCCTGCACCGTGGCTTATGTGACAATTATTTTAAAATCATATTACACACAGTCATTTACCTGGAGCTGCTGACTTTATTGACTTTGTTATGTTAGCTGTGATAGATTTCAATTTTTCTTCTCGTTCATCCATTTTCCTCTGTAAAAAAAATAGAAACAAAACAATAATTTTTTCACCTAGGTATTTGAGGTCAAACCAATACTGTCAAAGTTGAAATCATTTTTCTTCACATAACTGCAAATTTTAACCCGATTTATTCTAAACAGCAGTTTGGGATGAATCAGAATAGTATTAATGGCATATCAGTGTAGGACATATGCCATTAAAGAGACCCCACTAAGGTTTTTTTGACATGAAGTTACTGGAAATAAATTTTTGAAATTAATTCTCCATTTGATGCAGGTCTACACTAATAACTTCTGTGTAAAATTTCAGATCATTCGCTAGCTCTGTTTTTCCAGAATAATTATTCTTATCATGCAAAATGACTGAAAAATGTTGCATCACTTTTCACCGAAATCATGCTAAGAATAGCCCAATTAAACGATATTCTTGTTATTTCTAAGTATATTTTCTTAATTATCTTTTGCATAATTATTTAAAGTGCCCCATTTGATCTATGTAAATAAATTAAAATTTTATGTTTTTAGGCTCTTAAGTCTCAGTAGAGGTCCTTTAATGGCATAAAAGTTGGGGACAAATAATATTAATGACTTATCATGGCAAAACTGATAACCATGTCACAATCATCCAATGAAAATCAACTTTCAAAAAGATGCAGTATTACAAAGATTATTTTCTCTACTTAAAAATGTATCAAAAGTATCAAAGTTGATAAATAGTACAAAAACTTGTTTCAAAATCCAGTATAAATCAAAATATTTATATAAAAGTACAATGTTTCAGTAATTTCTCTGTAAATTCAAATAAACTACAAACCAGGTACAGTTCCCTCCAGCTTTCCATTTCATCCGGCTTAAAACCTTTAAATTCTCTGTCACAATGTAGTTTCCATAGGCAATCAGAATCTTCCAGAAAGTGCTGATAAAGAACAAGGAAAATAACATGTTATTTGTGTTCTTGTGCAAAATTATTTACTTGCCTTCTAGAACTTAAATTGTACAATAACTAGATGTTTGTCTGAAATATTTCAAAGAGTAAGGAATATTCTACATTTGTATGAAAGATGGATGCTTATACTTCCCCCCTATTTTTTGTATATAATATAAATAAAACCAACACTAAAACATACAACCAACACTACAATTGAATAAAAGGAAGTAAGTATAGAAAAAATGTTGTATTTGTTATTTTTTTGGTTTTTTATTAAAGGGGCATAACTCAAATATATAGCTTTCAGACTAACCTCCCTTGTCTACAACTGCAACTTGACATGCTAAAGTTTTCCAAGTTATATACCTATCAAAAGGTTTGAATTATGGGCTACATTTAAGTTTTTGCACAACAACAATGATGATGCAGCAATCATAATGGTTATACGTTTACTTGTATATAAACAGACAACTTATTATCTATGGCTTTACACAACTATAAATCTACTCACTGGGTTATAGTCCTCTAAATCATACAGTTGTTTAGGGTTACATTTCTCCAGTACAGGTTTCATGATGTAGAAAGGTATTCCACCTACATAATCAATGCCTGAAATATATATAATATACAATTAACAATATACGCTGACATTCTTATGGGGGAAAAAAAAAAACAGATATTGTCAAGACACAGATTATTCTCCAGCCAAAATAAGCCAATAAAATCTAAAATGTGAATATTCAACATGTTCAAAGAGTCAATAATTCAAACAAAGCGATCAATTATATTCCTTGATTGTTAAGATACAATGAATCAACATAAATCTATCAGCATCTAAGCTATTATCAGTTTTGACCGTAGTCAGTATCAGTTGATAAACCATAGGCGGCGGACTCAATGTAAATTAATTTTGACAACTTTGAATGATTGACAAACTTAGCTAATTAATTGACAGAATTTGGCCAAATAATTGAAAAATTTGCCAAATAAAATGTTTACAGCATTTTACTTAGTATCTTGATATTAACACTATTACATTGTTGTTGTGAATCAAATCAAGATTTTTTTTGTATCTCTAAAGACATTGCTGCCTTATGGCCTTTATCAAAATATCATAATTACAGTAAAATTAATATGAGTGGTCATCATTTTTTTGCTTCAGTTTAAGGAAAGATACAATGGAGTGATTTTAATAAAATTGTGATTATTTGTATCTTTCTTTACATTTGCGCCCTATGACCTTTTTCACAATATCACAATTTCAGCAAAATTACTATTAAGTGACATTCTTAGATTATGTTTCTTAGATTAATAAAATCAAGTGATTTTACTGAAAAGCTTACTATTTTTGAACTCTTATTTACGTTCCCACACTATGGCATTCAGCAAACTATTACAATTTTAGTGAAATCATTGCATTGTGTCTTGAAACATTACTTCTAAGAATGGAGTGGCAATAGAAGTACTGTACTTCAACATCTACCTAGAGATTACTGGTACATCTTTAACACATTTAGAATAAGATCTCTCCTAGATAAGATCTTGTCTATCATGATTAACTATAAAATAAGAAATAACTTACAGTCTATATTATCTTGTAACACCTTTATACACAGATCATGAAGGGAATGCATCTCTGAAATAAAAAACATTAATATTATGTCATTACATAGAGGATATTTGTTTGTTTTGCATGTAAGATTGAAATATAATTTCAATGAGTGAACACCAGATGCAATATTTTCACGAGTGGCGTAGCCACGAGTGAAAATATAATAGCTGGTGTTCACGAATGAAATATGTTTCAATCTTATATGTAAAACAAATAAATTTTCTTTTTATTTCATGTGTTTTAAGTGATTTTAAGTAATTTTCACATCAACAAGTTTGAAATATAGTTCTGTTAAATTTCTCTAATTTTGTTACATTTTTAACATAATGTATGGTGACATCGACTTTCTTTTCCGAAAGAAGCAAAATTTACGCATGACGGCATTTATTTTTGCCTGTTATTCCATTCAGTTTTTATTTTCTTTTCATCCGCATTCAGATATAGTCCGGCTACAGTGAAAATTATATTTTATAAATTTCACTAGTGGTTTATCAGAATATAATCATCTGATATATTACAATAAAACACTGGAAAGCATGAAATAAATGTATATTATCATATAATCATGAAGGACCTTCACTGAGGTCCAAAAGCATTGGATCAATTTACACCAGTACAATGATAGTTTTGGAAAAACAGAGCGAGCGAATCAGATCAGATTGTACACAAATTATTGATCCAGACCTACATCAAGTCTAAAAAAGTCAAATATATCAAATCCTTAGTGAAGTCCCTTTAATATCTACAAACCTCAACTGCTGGGAACTTAGTTTTATAACTACAAACAAGAGTTGTCACAGATAAAACACTTTTAACTATTCTCAGTCCTAAAAAGTAAAGCAACAGTCCTGTTCAATCAATCAAAGGGAAGTAATCAAAGTTATACCTAAAACTATAATCCTGAAGAAATGTAGAGCATGCGAAAAAATGGTTTTCTTGAACTCTGATGATATTTAACTGATACAGGGTTTAAATTAGTTACTTGCAAAAATTTGCCTTGGCATTTATTAATTTAGTAATGATTACATATAATATTGCATAATATATCCATATTAACCCTTCTGTATATTTACAGGGCCTTTCAATTGCCCAGGAGATGTAAAAGGGGTATAAGGGGCATGCTTGTTTTTCACTTTTTTCTTTGGTATATTGAAAAACCTAGTCTTTAAAAAAATGTCAGATAAAAGTTTGAGTGACAATACGTCTTTAAGCAAATGAGCAGTATCACCTTCTTCAACATACCTGTCACCATATTTTGCTTTTTCCCAGAATACACAGCTGTTCTAGTATTATTTCTTGATATCAGATAATTTCCCATGTCTTCAGCTAAAATCATAGAATAATAGAATGGTTGTAATAAATGGCTGGAACCAAATAAACTTGGTTAATGTGATATTAAGATATGTTTTGCCGTGTTGTTGAGCTGAATTAACTATACATGTATATTCAAAACAACTGTCAATTATAATGGTGACTGCCCTGAATTCCTGAAGAATAAAGTATATATTTATGTTACGGCAATTTTCAAAAGTTACACGAGTTATTGACTATTCATACCAAGTTAGATGAAAAATCAAAATTTAAACAAAATTGTAGTAACTGTTGTATTGAGGGCGTCTGTGGCCGAGCTGAAAAGGTTCTTAAACTTCAAACTACTTGCCCCTCACTGCTACTTACTTGGTTTCTCTTGAATCTCTTGGTATCTCCAAGGCCTGTAGTGAGCTTGGGTAGAGGGGAGGTAACTAGCTAGATCATTACTTATCTGAAAATATGAAATGTTTGTAAATGATTATCTTTCTTTGTTTCAGGGATTTTTTGCTCTTAAGATCTTTAAGTCATTAATTACAAGGTGAGCTAATCAAGTTTTTTCTTCTTCAAAATACAGTACAACAACATGAACTGCAGAGTAAAAGCCCCTAGGAGGCAAATATTTCGGTTGTTACTGACAGGTATTGCTCCAAAGAGTTTTATTTCAGTATTAAATTTGAGATTGGGAAATATAGTTTGTGCTGTCAAGATGTTATTGCTCTATAGACGGCCCCCTGCAATTGTTACACTTCATTTGACTGTAATTTTGTATAGAAATGAAAATTTTTCCTATAGCAGCATATAGATTTAGAACTTTAATCATTACAGTAAAATGACATCAAAGTGAGAACACAATTCCTCATAAAAAGCAAATGAGGATGTGTTATTTAACACACTTCTCTTTTTCTAAAACAAGGAGTGAAAGAAATGTTTTACTAGCACCAGTCTAAACAGTAAAAAATCTTGTCTAAAATTCAACAAATTACAATTATGTGCTTGTAATCTAACTGTTCAGCAGACATAATAATTGTTGTGAATCCATAAAAACATTAAAAGTATCAATTCAGTATCCTGACCTGTTTTTTACTTGCGGGACCTTCAAGCCCATCTGTAGCTTTTCTCTTTACACCTTCAATTTTTCCACCCATCCCTTCTGTTTTAGATTCCCACTTCTTCTTTACCTTGAACTTTGATCTTATCTCCTCATATTTAGCTTTCTTTTCAAGTTCTTCTTTAGTTGGTTTTTCAAAAGTTTTATTTGGACTTGTAACATTTTCTGTTACGACTGCATCAGAATTATCAAAACATAGCATATCTTCAAATTCCATTGGCTCGGACATACTTGGCTTTTTACTTGACTTTGAGTGTAATTTGGAATCCCTGTCTTTATCGTGTTTATGCTTGTGTCTTTTTGAGCTAGAGCTACTATGTTTTTCTTTATCACGTTTTTTCTGTTTATCTTCAGAAACATTCTTATCATCCTGTTTATGATGTGTTTTATGACTTTTGGAATGTCTGTCCTCTCTATCAGTTTTCTCTTTATGTGAACTTTTATGGCTTTTATCCCTGCTTTTAATTTTCGGGTCATGCTCATCATTTTTATCTCCTGAGGTTTTATCAGAATGGTGACCTGATTCTACACCACTTTCTGACTTTGCACGTTTATGTTTTGAGCTTGATCTTTTTTCTACATCTCCTGGTTTACTAAATATTTTGTTTGTTTTACTTTCTTTGGGATGTAAACTTTCACTATTAACATATAAACTTTCAGTGTCATCATCACTTTCAATACAGTTCTTTGCATGTTTGGACTTAATGCTATCTTGTTTTGTATCTCTATCATGTTTTCTTTCTTCATTATGGCTTGAACTTTTATGTGATTTTGATTTATGATCGCTAGACTTTGATCTCTTTTCTTCGATTTGTTTCTCATGTTTTTTACCTTTCAAGTCATGCTTTTTATCATGTTTAGCTTCTTCGCTACTATTAGATCTTGATCTTTTCCTTTCATGCTTTGAGCTTTTGTCATTTCTAGAATCAGATTCTCTTTTGTTGGATTGAGAGTTGTTTCTATCACTATATTTTGAGCTTTTTTCGGAGTATGAACTACGTTCAGTAAGACTGTTAGATTCTTTATCACTTCTTTGTTTTGAACTATTCCCTGAACTATGTTTGGAGGATTTATCACAGATGCTTTCTGAGGCATTGTTTTTACTTGAGCTTCTGTGTCCAGATTCACTTCTGGAGTGCACTGAGCTCTTTTCTACATCAGATTTGTCATTCTTGTTTCTTCTTTCAGAGTCTTTAGAATCACTTCTGTGACTAGAACTTGTATGCTTTGAGCTATCACTGCTTTTAATGTCAGAACTTTTATGAGATTTTCCTGAATTTGCATCCTTCTCTTTACCACTATTATGCTCATCTTTACTTCTACTAACATGTTGTTTCTTATCTGATATGTTTCCCAAGTGCTTTGAGCTTTCTCTAGATTTATCATTTTTGTCAGTGTTACCCCTATGATGATCTGAAGTCTTTGTTTCAGAATACTTCTTACTATCCTTTGATTCTTTCACAGAATGTCCACTAGACCTTTCAGACCTATGTTTAGCTTTACTGTCATCTAGTTTGTCATCATGATCATCTTCAGAATTACTGCTATACTTTTCCTTATCTTTATATAGATCATGCCTGCTCTTTCTGTGACTTTCTTTACTTCTATCAGAATGCTTTTCGCTCCTACCAGAGTGCAATTCCTTCTCTTTATTCCCTCTCTCCTCCATTTTTCCACTCTTACTTCTACCTTCATCCCTTCTAGTTTCAGAAGTTTTAATTTTCTCTTTATCTCTATGGCCATATTTTCCATCAGTTGACTCTGACTGTCTTTTATGATTTCTATCTTTTTCAAATCTTTCTGCAGACTTATCTTTATGAGTACTTTGTTTGTGTTTTCCCTCCAAGTCATGATTATGCTTACTTGAATGCTTCGAATGAATTTCTGACTCCCTTGAGGATTCATCAGACGACCCTCCACTTGAAGACTCATCTGTGACTGATTGAAACTGTTTTAAAGAGGAGTCACTTACACTATTTGACCTACTTTCATCCCTACTATGTGATCTTGACCTTAAAGATTCTTGGCTAACTGATCTTGACCTGGAACTTGATGAATTAGATGAACTTGACAATTTTCTTTGTTTTTCGTATTTATTTTTCTTTTCAGTTTTGTTATAATCCTTGTTTTCATTTTTGTGAGATGAAATTTTATCATATATTGCATGATTTTGTTCTTTGTACTTTGAACTATGTTTTTCTTTTTTGTTTTCATAACTATCTATGCTTTTTTCATCTCTCTTTGTTTCCCTGTGTTTTTCACTATTTTTATCATTACTGTTTCTTTGCATACTATCATGTTTATCACTACCTTTTCCATGCCTATCACTATGTTTATTGCTGCTGTCTTTAAGACTTGCACTACGTGTATCACTACTTTTTCCATGCCTTTCACTATGTTTATCATTATCACCTTTATGAGTTGCACTATGATTTTCACTACTTTTCCCATGCCTACCACTATGCTTATCATTATTATCCTTACCATTTCCACCGTGTTTGTCATGTTTATCATAACGGTCTCTTTCCTTATCCGAATGTTTTTCACTACTTTTTCCATATTTATCACTATGTTTATCACCACTCTCCCTATGCCTTTCACTATGTTTATCACTAAGCTCTTTGTTTTTAGCTACATGTTTATCATCCTTAGATACTTTTCTTTGCTCAGAATTTCTGTCACCATGAGATTGATGAAGATCAGATTTAGAAGACCTAGATGAAGAAGAACTTGCCCGGCTTTGCTGTTTTACATCTGCAGAGCTTTTATATTCAGATTGTTCAGAATTATGTTTGTCTTTGGAATGAGTGCTTTGTTTTCTATGTTCGTCAGTTTTATGTTTATTCCTAGAGCTAGAACTTTCTCTTTTTTCAGAATCATGTTTATGTTTTGTATGCCTATCTTTTGACCTATGTCTATCTTCACTACTTTCAGATACTCTGCTAGAACTACTAGGTTTTCTCTCCTGATTACCATGCTCTCTATGTTTATCACGTTTGTCATCAGATTTATGTTTATCTGTATATTGTTTGTTTGAACCTGAGTTAGAATCTTTACGTTGATCTTTATGTCTTTCATCTTTTGAATTGGAATTATTTTTTTCCAAGTGATGTTCTTCAGATTCATTAGAAGATTCAGATAACCGCCTTACATTTTGCTGCTGTTTTGTCTCTTCACTTGAAAGGCCCTGATATCTATCATGTGGAATGTGATTTGGTACATAATGGCCTTCTGAGTCTGACGAATCATAGTCTTTCTTGTTTACATTTGCAGATCTTTCACTTTCATTACTGTAATTAGAATGTTCAGAATCTCTTCGTTGATTTTTATATCTTTCCAGATTCACTCTGTCATCTTCATTACCACTATATACATGCTCCTTGTCAGAATGTTCCATCTCACTTCCGTATCCTCTATGATGATCACCCCTTCTGTTAGCATAGCTTTCATTGGCTGAATGCTCAGCCTCGCTTTCATGTTGTTCATTTTCATTGGCTGACTGTTCAGCCTCACTTTGAGATTCAACATTGTCACTTTGTCTGTCTTCTTCCTCTTCCTGTTGTCTACTAGCTTCTTTAACCATTTCTTTCCATTTATGAATGATCTCTCTTGCTCTTTCAGCAATTTTTCCATCTCTCTTCCTTAGAGTGTTCACTATTTTACCAATACCAGTGTCCTACAAAGGAAAAGAATATCAATAATGTTAATTCTACCTGTTCTTATCAGTTAATACTCTCACATAACAAGAATGGTTTACCTTTTCCTCGTGTATTTATGTACTTATATCATTGTTAACAATAGTATACAATATGTGGCAGACTGTCAGTTGACCTGACTGATATTAAACAATATATAAGATACACCAAGTTACATTTTAAAGTGATATTATGCCCTTCTATGTGTAAATGAGAATACTAGTAAAGGTCGAAATAACTTTACATGATGCCATTGTTGTTTTTAATTTTATATTTTACTGCTCATGAATAATATATAAAACATGTAACTCATCTACAAATACCCTTTTGATTTTACCAGGTATGTGGAAAAAAGAGCGGGCAGTTATTTTATATCTTATCTTTAAAAGTTTGTGTGTTTTTTGCCAACCTGAGGGGTCAACTTCTTAACATAAGCTCTTAAATCTTCAGTGAAGACTTCACACTTTGAAAGTACACTAGTAAAATACAAAATGGTTCTCAAAGTCAAGCTTGAGCATCATGCAGTTCTTTAATTTGGCATTAAAGAAACACACAATTAAAATACAAATACCAACCTGTAAAATGTCAATCGTAATGTCGAGCTGCGAAAGTTTCTTTAATACATACAGCAACTGAAAACATTAAAGAGAATAAAGTAATCATAACCATAAATACAACCAGTCAACAATAGCTGAAAGAAGACAGCCCACTATTATGCTTCAATCTTCTTAGTTCTTGATTTAAGACAAGTGTTACAGCCTTGGGAAGTTCTGGGTAGTGGAAGTAAGAAATAAATACACATCTTCTGGTTTCATTCTTTATAATGTCTACAGTATCTAAATTTCCGCACCGCTACACAAGCACCATGGCATATAGTTATTATCTAGGTTCATAAAAGAGGAATTATTCAGTAAATATTTACTTAACTGGAGTCACAGGGATCTACAGATATATAGGACACTTAAGAGTGTTGTGCATATACTTTTCTGGAAAATCCCTCCCAAGCCATGCACTGTATGCACTGTTTGCCATTCAGTTCATACTTATTTTGAAATTTTCCTAAAAATGATGACTTTATATAATACACATATCATGCTCTGTCTGTCAGTTTACATAGATGAATGGTTAAATTGGTGTGAAAGAGTTTAATAACATAATCTACTTCTCATCCTCACATATCTTCAAGGACAAGCTGGTGAGTGTTATCTCAAGCCCTGGTTCCCCCCAGTATGTAATTATTTTTATAATTTCATAACCTTGCACACCTTTATCTGTGAACTTTAATCTTTTTTATCTCAATGCATGACTTTTTCACACACTGTTGTCCTGGCAAAGCATAGATCTCCCAGTTATGGTCAACATATATAGTTTGAGAGAAATATGTAGACCCTATAAGTTAATACTTGCCCTTCACAAAATGTAATTTTCCTGCATTTTGATGTGCAAAAATAGTTATAATCATAAACACATGACAAATTTACTATTTACTGCTCTATATAGTTAATATAATAGGCTTTATTCAATTACATATTGTTTATCATACTTACATACTTTCTACATAGCCTGTATACTTATTTCATTCAAATTCTAACACACTCGGACACAGAATCAACCTTATGGCTCAGCATGCCCACTCAATTTCAAATGTAGGGGTACATGTACTCCCTGCCATTGAAAATTGGGGATACATTTCAAAATCCCAGGGTACACAGAATTTTAAATGTGAGTTTTTTTATAAGAGCATTTTAGTAAACATTATATTAATTAATGAACAGCTGTTTCGCTAAGTTTTACTACTCACTAACACTGGCACGAACTTATCACTTAAGGTAGCAATATGGCACATATATACACTTCAACCAAAATTTTGTATATCCGAAATTATGTACTTTTATTTCACTGTAGTGCGTGAATGGGCATGCTGTGGCTGAGTATAAAACATTGTTGGAAGCTGCTGTCATTGTGGAAGGGGGAGGTGTTAATTGATTCATCATTTGCTTCTAAAGGGTATTGGGTAAAGGTTTATATTTAGCCATAAGGTTGATTTCCGGTTTTTGTTTGACAGGTATTAATGTCCTCTGCAGTTTGATTGTTTACCCAATAACTTCCCTTATAACTGATTACAGAAATATCAATTGGATCGGGAGAATCTAACTCGCTCTACAGGGCATGTTTGATCAACTTTTTTCTTGCCAACCCAAACTTTCACTTGCAAATGTTTAGTGGATTTGTCGAGGCCTGGTGTTTTTATGTAACTGTGATCTATGTTGTTGCAAAAATAAAATAAATAAATAAATATACAAAAAATATTGATTAAAAACTAGTTTAAAACTCTCTCATGTTGTTAATTTGATCCGTTACTGGATCTGACATAGCAAATTTTGTGACGGCAATTCATGAAATATTCCTATTCAGCTATTGAACTGAACAGCATAGAAGAACGAATGTTACAAATTGGATATCGATAAACCATTTATACATTAAGTTCACTGAAACATTTTTGTGTCTTTTCAAAAAAAGGAATGAAACATATAAGCAACCGTCAATCTTCTTTAAAATTTAACTGCACATCGCGAAAACAGATAACATTATTCCACTTCCTAGCATACTGAAGTCGATTCCTTAAGAATTACTTAATGAATCGTGTAAAAATTAATGTCATTCGAAAGAAAAATACATTAACTTTTGATTATAAAGAGAAACTCAAATATTTACCTTAGAATCATCCAAGTCTGCAAGTAAATAATCTTTGCATTTGAGAACTTTCGCCTCGACGCCCGCCATGATGACGTTTCCAACAAAGGGACATAACCACAAAATCAGCTGATTTATGTCAAAATTAAAGGTACTTTACGTATTCAAAGAAAGGATACTGTACAGCTAAATCTAGTTTTTGAAAAAAAAAAATGACACTCTTTTTTGAAAGCAATTTTTAGCTCTTTAAAGCAATTTTTAGCATTAATTAAGGATACTTTGTCCATTTAGAGGTCAATTTTCAATCGATTTTTAAATTCAATATCGATATAAACAAAATATCATGATAATTCAATTTTCTTACTTATGTATCTCCTGTCATCTTAGTTTTCTTATTATTGATTCCATTTTTTAAATCATTTTTCCTCTCGTGAGCCTAATTAATTAAGAAGTATATAGATCTAAGTTCTTTTTTATCCATTCATTTCACGTATTTCTGCTATAAATCAAATTACAAATATTGGTTTTGATTTATTTATTGGGCATTTTTTATTATAAAGAACTGGGAAGAAAGAAAACATAAATCGAAAATGAGTTGAACAAAGTTATTATATATAACGAATACTTTGTAGTCAGCTTACAAGAAAATGTCCACGAACGTCTACTTTTCTGTGTAGGGCAATGATCTTTAAAGAAAATACGGCCTACTGTCGATTTTGCATAGCCATATTAACGAGTCGCGTCGTTAAAGGTCTCGTTAATTTATTTTACATGTATCTATTTGTGCTTTTTATTTATCTCGTGCACGCGCACGAGATATTATGTCGTGGTCACGAGTTACTAGATGTTAAGTGGTGCGCACGAGATACTATGTCGTGGCCACGATTTACTAAGTCGTTGCCACTAGCTGGATAATTAAGTCGTGCGCACGAAATACTAATTATCTTGTGCGCACGACTTTATTATCTCGTTCCCACGACTTAGTATTTCGTGGCCACGACATAGTATCTCGTGAGCACGAGATAAATAAAAAAGCACAGATGCCACCTTTGTGCCACAGTATAACTTAATGACTTTTGCATACTACTATGTTTATAAATACATTTTTGCTTCTTTTGACACACATTATGTCACATCCGTAGCTATTTTCTTTAGGTGATAAGAATTTCACATATTCTAAATCAATCACTGCAACCTTTATAAAAACACATGATTTTGCTTTTCACAAAAGGAATTATTTGCTTAACTTTATTAATAAAACTGTATATATTTTATTTATTTTAACATTTACAGGGTTTTATTTTTATAATGAAAGTGGAGTTTAGAACCAACTGCAAAACAAGCAAAAGACTGACTTGATAAATACTGTAAGTATACTAAACACATTTTACATTGAAAGCAAGATGACGACTTTATAAGTGTGTTTTTTATTACTACCAAATTAACATTCTAACAAAATATTTTGCAATTCCCTTAAAGCAGCATGTCACCAGATTCTTGCAAATTTTCATGAATATTTTGAAAATGTTTTAAAAAGTAAGATGTTGTCAAGTGAAGATAGAAAGTAATTAAAACATTACAAGCGGCACTTCAAATCCACGTAAATTACCCAAAAGAGGTCATGCAAAATTAGCCCTTACTGTATAAGTCACGCAGTAGTAATATTGCAAAATCAGTCATAAATTTCATATACATGTAACATGTAAAATTTTGCTTGAATTGTGAATACTGTTTTCCCCCTTAAAATATAAGTACATGTATATTGTTCTCAAGGCTGATTATCTTGAAATATTTTGGCTGACCTGGAGGCATGCAGCTTTTAAGGTTATATTGTATAATTTTTATATTCATTTCACTTTATTCAGATTTTGTACATCTAGGTAAAATGTCTAAAGGGTAACTCACATTTTTTGTTTTTCATATACATGTAGTACTATTTCTTTGTTTGATCAAATTTAATGGACATGACCAACATTTATTGAGACCTTGTCGAAGATGAAAGTAATTCTAAAATTTAAGTAGATCTAGACATTATATTTGAAACAAACTTTTTTAATCAACAGTATTGTAAATTCTCGATCAGACCTGAGATCTAACCACAGGAACTTGAAATTCTATCAATATTAATGATAATATCCAAAATATACCCCCTATACATTATAAAATACTGTATAGGGGGTATATTTTGGATATTATCATTAATATTGATAGAATTTCCAGTTCCTGTGATCTAACGTACATTCATACATGTACATGTATTATCAGTCAAACAAAACTATTACTAAACCGTAGATTCAGTTAAATTAGATATGAAATGGAATTTAACACGAACGCCTGTTGCATTTTTCCATAACTGCGGATGATTCTAAATTCAACACTTTCCATTGTCATGCCCAGATGCTGAATTCTGCTTAAACCGGTGCTAGGGGTTGTGGACGGTAGATTGCATTTAACACTGCTGTCCATCGAGGCTGCAACATATTCAATTAACCGTTTCGTGCGTGCTTTTAACCATTTCATTGTATACGTTTGAAAATGCCAGTCGGATACAATATGGATTATTTGGATTTAAAAATAGCTTAATTATAAGGTTGAATGAAGTTGACCTTTTCAGTGTTTTTTCATAAGTCGAATTTTGTTTATGGTTGACGACACGGTAACGTCAGCAATAAACATCTTTTTATTGGTCGCTTCTGTTTTTGGCAATAGGTTCACGACAGCAATAAATATCTTTTTATTGGTCGCTTCCACAGGCGCTAGTCACATAATCAAATATTTTACATAACCGGTCTATATATATGTATATAAAGATCTTTATATACATATATATAGACCGGTTATGTAAAATATTTGATTATGTGACTAGCGCCTGTGGTCGCTTCTGTTTTTGGAGGTAAATATTTTTGACCATTTATTTCCTGGGCATTTTGGTCATTTTGTATTTCGTTGACTTGAGATCACATGTTTTGAAAATTAAAAAAATTAAGTGTAAAATGATTAAAGATATTTCACATATATTTCATGTTTAAAAATACATGTATAGTATGGCATTGTTTTTATCAAAGTTTTTTATGTTTTTAGAACATGTAAATCATCCACCACTGCGCAAGTGTACAATAGTCTCCGACTCCATAGCGAGAAATGTTTCTGGAATTTGGGATACCAAAATTACAGCTTTTCCAGGGATTAATATTTCGAGATTAAGTTTGAGAATGAAGATTTAAGATCTTCATTCATTATAACATTATAAAATTTTGGATAAAATTGTTGACTACAGATGAAAACAAATATATTAAGAAGGTGTATTTAATGTTGAAACAAGATATTATTGAAAATCCAAACAGAATAAATTGGTGTTCATTACTGAAAGATTTAGTATGCACTCTTGGTTTTTATGAAGTTTGGTTATTTCAGACTGTTGGAGACTCTGAACTGTTTTTATATAATGTGAAACAAAGATTAAAGGATCAGTTTTTACAAAACTGGTCTGGTAGACTAAATAACTCAAGTAGAGCGTTGTTTTATAAATACATTTTAAACCACAGATTTCAACCATATCTTGATTTGGTAAACGTTAAAAATTCCGTGTTTGTTTATCACTATTACGCGTATCATCACATAGACTTTTTGTATTTTCTGATCGTAAGATCAGTAAATACATAGCTAACATCCATGGTCTAACACAAAATTTCCTTACAGTCCTAACAACGCAAAGTAGTTCTCACTCAAAACTGCTTAAAACCAGCAATTTAAAAGAAAGAATAATTTTTAATGTACTGCATTTAACGAATTACAGTGCATTAAAAATAGAAATATGAGGTTACAATCACAAATTTCGCGGATGAATATCTTTTTTACCCAATGAAAAATGTTCGGCTATTTCCGTAAAGCTTCGGATTATCATGAAGATCATTTTAATCAATGAAAATGCTATTTTTAGCTATGTCGATTACCGAATACTCCAGGGCGTAGTACACAAATAAATCTGACTGTCGAGTTGTGGAATATATACATGTCGGACTGTTTTGGCGAGAAGAGTTTCGCTAAATTATTTTCATCAGTGTTAAACAACAGGTTTATCGTGAACAAAATACCTCGAAATTAATTAGGATTGCAAACACGAAATGGAAATTCTCAATTTAGAATTACATAATGTATTCGTTTTTATTCAAGGTATGTATTACTTCGCCGTGGTGCAGAGGTAAGCGGTCTCGTTGAGGGTGTGAGAGGCCTATGGTTCAAATCCTAGTCGAGGCAATTCTATTTGTTTTCATGCAAAATTCCATATGTATCAATCTCAAACTGTTATAGAAGAAAATCAAAACGCTGTCGCTACGTAAGATGAATTATAGTATATAAAAATAAACTTATACAGGAAAGTACATACAGATAGTCAGTATGATTTAGATTGCAAAGATCAGAAAATACCATAGAGCTGCAGCCCTTTGATTATTGAAAGTGGCCGATGGACAATACCTGTTAGCACTCCAGTAAATGAACGGAAATGTACTTTTTGCGATAAATTAGAAGACAAATATCATTTTGTTTAAGAATGTGTTTTATATAACGATTTGAGAAGGCAATTTGTACCAGCCTATGATTACAGACGACCAAATATGCAAAAATTTGTTGATTTAATTACTACAGAATGTAAGCGTATCATAAGAAATTTAAGTACATAAAAATTATGTAGAAAAAGCATTTACATTAAGAACAAACGAACTTTACAGAGGCAACTATTCTTAAACTGATTTTTCAAGATGTAATGATGTGAATTTTGTTAGTATGACTCTTATATGCCTTTATTGTTTATCAAATGTAATCTCATTATGTACAATTATAGTAAATCCATATGTCAATCAACTTGGTAGTCTCGTTTTTGTGCAAGTTGTGACGGGAATTGGAATAGGAATTCATATTTATTTTAAGTCCGATTGACATTTTACATTTATGATTTAAAATTTTATAACTTTATGAAATAAAATCCATTGGTCACCAACTTTCCACTTTCGTTTTCGAGCAAGTTGTGACTAGATATGGAATCATTTTCTTACTACTACTTACTTTACTGTAACGTTACTATGCTGTATATGCACAGACAAGTGTATTGAATGTTAAAAATGTTTATTCTGTCTATCTTAGGTTAAACAAA